GTTGCGATCCCGTTACCGGTCAGTAAAAAAGACAAAAAGGAAAAAAAAAAAGAAAAGAAATAGAATTGGCATGAAAATTAGGTTTCCTGAATCTTGGTATTTTTTACACCAGGCTCTGAACTATGTTTGGGCACGTGTAAGTGTGTCCATGCAGATGTGTATGTGTGTGTGTGTTTGTCTATGGTTTGGGGGTATATCTGTGCTTCTATGAGGACAAGCTGTTAAAGTGGAGAAAAGGCAAAGGATTAAAGAGGGGAGCAAGGAGGAGGTGTGGCAGAAAGAACATTGGATTCAGAGGATGCCTTGGGCAAGAGCTCTCTGGGTCTCAGTTTCTTTAACTATAAAAACTCAGAATTCTTGCAAAAATTAAATGAGTATGTATTTGAAAGCACTTTATGTTTCTATATATAAATATTAGTAATTGTCTTTGTTAGAATTATTATTAAAAATGTAATACAGATGATAAAGCAACCCTCACAGGTAGAAGGACTCACATTTTCTTCATTTTCTTGGCACTAGCTCTTACCATATGTCAAGCTCAGAGGAATATTCAGTGGCTCCCAGCAAAGCATCAGGAGGCCGGTACCAGAGGGTCACGACTTCTGAAGAGTATGTCTGACTGGGAATAGACTTGGCACGAGCAAGACCTGCCCAAAGGAGAAAAGCATAGCACCCATTGTCTGGGGAGGCACAGTGAGGCATTTAACCAGAAAGAGTATAACTGGCAGAGTAAACAACATTTAAAAAGCAAACACAAACTTTGAGTGCTTTTAATAGAACTACGCAATTATCCTGACCCTGGTGTAGCACTTTGTCAAGTGAATTTCTCAAATTTTGTCCCCCTTTGCAGCTAGATATGGCCTTCCTGGCAGCTAAGTGGGGTCTGGTGACTAAGTTATTGTTATATGATAAGAAAAGAGGTGATGTGTGAGCTCCCAGATCATGCCTTTAATAGAGGAGTTCCCTTTTCTCCTTCCTCTAGGCTGTGAGAGAAGGAAGTGGAAGCCGTCTTGAAATATGTAGTTGGGGCAATATCCTAGAGATGGTGGAGCCATAGGACAGAAGACTGGGCCAAGGCACCATGGGGTCACCACATAAGCTCTGACTGTTTAGGTCAGGACTGTTACATGAGAGAAAGTTAAGCTTCTATCGGGTTACACCTCTGTTATTCTGGGTCTCTCTAACAGCAACTGAACTCAGTGCACAACTAATATGGCCACCTTCTATTTTTGCAGTCCAGGAACCTGCAGCTTAATAGATACAGGGTGAGGACTGCTAATCCAAATTGTCTAGTTGGGTAGGACTTTAGATGAGTTTCTCTCAAGTGCTCCTCTGCCAAATGAGCATTCCTTTCTTGGTCAGCTGCTTATCTCACAGAATCGTATGATCTATGATTGGGAAAAATTTTAATAGATGAGTTCACTGTTGTGGAAAATTGATAAATAAATGTCTATTAAATGCTTACATGTCAGGATGAAAACTACTATTTCAGAATAAAGTACTGCAGCTACATCATCATTTGACATCTGCCAAACAGAGAAGAGTGGTTCCTCAGCTCATATGCAACCAGTTTTCCAACAAATATTGATTGAGCACCTGCTATGGTACCAGTGCTAGGAATACAATGATAAGCCAAAACAGACCCAGGCTGCCCTCATGATGCTTCCAGTCTAGTGGAGGAGATGAAATCATCACACAAATATATATACATTTTTATGTGCACGCACATGTATACCTACATATATTAGTGTGTGCATGCATGTACATATATATATATATATATGTTTGTGTGTGAATGTAATTATAAACTGTGATGACTGCTAAAATACAAAGAGGAAATCACTTTGATGGGAATAAAAACTTCAGGTACCCATACAGTCACACTATGTAGATACTTAGGCAAGCAGGAGCAAGTGTCCTAGAGCTCCTTTCCAGCACTTCATGCTACGATCTGGGGTTTACCTCTTTATTCTGCCATCCTGGGATAACCTAGATCTATTCATATAGAATTGATACATCCACTCAGATTTAGGGATACCTACTAAGTACAGTTTACTATACAAATGTCTCTATATCAAAAATGGCAGGGAGGTAGCAGCAGTGTCCCAGTTTGGGGCATCTGACTAGACTGGAGTTTGATGGAAGCCTAGGAACAACCAACCCATCTCTCCCTGTTTCTTGCCTCTCACTTCCTATGTGGTAGTTTGATACCCTCAGAAAGCATCATGTTCCCAGGCCTCCAGCTTTCAAAGGCCAGGACTAGCCAATGCTTTAAAAAAAGTACACACAAAAGCATCATTGTTCACAACCCAGAAGGAGACTTGAGGGGCAACTTACCAAAATCAGCCAGCTTGAGCTCTCCCAGGTGACTGATGAGTAAGTTCTGAGGTTTCAGGTCCCTGTGAAGAACGTGTTGGTGGTGGATGTATGCCAGGCCCCGCAAAAGTTGAAACATGAAAAGCTGGAAGGAATGAACACCATACCTAAAGAGATTTGAGCCACTATGTGTTGATTTCTCCTCTAAATCAAAAACATTCATCTGGAAGAATATAATAAAAGTGTCTCTTGAGAGACAAAAAAAAAAAAAAAAATTAAGATTTTACATTCAGAGGGGTAAAAAAGGACAAGGAAAATCAAGTAACCAGACTGTGTCTTAAACAAAGGGATTCTGGCTTTTCCTGATATCTCATTTCTTTGATACCGAAGGAATTACCCTTTCCTTAAAAATCTAAAGTAAAACTTTGAAGTTTCCTTTGGAACAGTAGTTACTGATTTAGATATGAAAGATTTAAATTTTTTCTCCACTGATGAACTTGGCATATAAGATCAAAGTTGACCTGGAAATGATACTCTAAAGTTTGCAACCGCTTAAGTTTTCCAGTCTCTCTGACGTGAAACCCTTTTAAAAACACAACACAAGGAGACCAGACTGGGAAACATATATTAGATGATATTAGAAAGTAAAGAAATCATTATCTTTTAAAACTTATTTTTAAAGTCTTAAATTCAAAGTTGAAGGGAAATACATAGTATAGATTAAGAGGGAAGAGAAACCAAAAGAAATTAGCCTCCCCCCCCAAAAAAAAAACTTAAAAAGAGAGTAAGAAATAAATAGTAGGGAGAAGAAAGGAGAAAGGGTAGTGGTGGGAGAGGAAGGTAGAGAAACAACAGAAGAAATACATTCTGGGCCCCAATTTTAAAATGTCCCATGTAGTCATAAGGCACAGGAACCAGAGACATTACTAGTTTCCCACCAATATAGAAGCTTAAGGTAAAAAAAGAATGCATAGCATTCCAAGTGTCTTCTGCTATTTTCCAGTGCCACTGGCAATAGAGAATTCAAACACCAACATTAGTGTTTACAAGGACCTATGCCAACTGAGAACATGTACTGGCAGTTTAGAAAGGAAAGGAACAGGCCCAGCATTACTGGAGACACAGGCAAAATGGCAGATGCAGAGCTATGTGGATAAATCCACTTTTTCCATGCATCTTGGAAATAGGAATATCAGAGATGGTAGCACTGGTACTGACCTAGCAATGACATGGAGACATTGGAGCCAAGTTAATGTGCAGCATGGTCTGACCAAAGCAGGAGCCTGGGGAGTTTACCCGCC